CGCTGTGCTCCTCTGCATACGGCCAATGAAATCATATCATTCTTTCTTTTTTTTTTTTACAAAGTTTCACAAATACACAATACAAATTCAATCTCTATGCAACTCTAAACTCCTCTTCACTGTTAAGGTAAAAGATGAGATGTCTCACAATTCTGAATATACAGGAGTTCTGAATAGAGTATGACATGTATAAGGCACATACCAAATTAAAAATTACTGAAAGAGGTATTTTTCTTCCCTATGTTGCAGTCCGCTCATTAGCCTCCAGGCAGATTCATTGCAAGGTTCTGATGGTTATACCAGAACACTTTCAAAACTCATTTTACTTTTTCGTATTTATTCTGTTTCCATTTGTTTTTAGCTTGGACAGTTAAACCAGTCTAATCAATTTCTTGTTAATTCTTTGCTACCTGGTCTGTGCTAGAGCAGTGTCTTCTGACTGGTGCACCACTACTGCAAGAGAATGTTTCCTTTGCTTTGTTTTTAAATTACTTTTAGTTTAGATTTTTTTTTTTTACAAAGGTATATGCCACTTGGTCTGGGGTTTTGTAAAAATCACTCTTACAAAAGCTAAATTTGGAATTAAGTTTGACCTGGCCTTTGATGTAACTGAAAGAAAGGCTTATATCTATGTTTTTGTGATATGCTGAATTTAAATTTGACTGTTTGTTCTGTTTGTATGTGTCAACGCAAAGGTATTGCTCTGTAAATGTTGCATACTATCCTGTCCAATGTGTTTCAGCAATGGGGGAAATTGGCATAGACCCTCAAACTATTATTTGTAACCTGACTATTCACAGCTGGAATAGCTATGGATTTGTTATTTGTAAAACATCCATGAATTTCACCACAGGCCTTTCCAGCAATGTTGAAGCATCTGTGAATCAAACTGTTCCCCAGCTGTTCATTCACTACCTGCAGGTTCCTCTAGCATAAAGTCGCCATTAATACCGATGGTTACACTGAACCCCTGATGAGCTCTTACAACACTGTTCCCCTCGGACTACAGTGTTCCCCTCGGACTACAGCTCTTACAACACTGTTCCCCTCGGACTACAGACTAAAGGCAATAATTCCAAACAAGAAAAACAGTATTAATTCTTCCAATAAAAAGTTCTTGGCAGTGTTTGGAGTGACTGCCAGTGTTTTGGTGGCAACTATCCATGTTTAAATCTAAACCCCTTTTTGTTTCATTCTTTTTGCACTAGGTCCTCCCTTCTAGGCAGAAACTCCCATGGTTATTTCCCATGAAAAGAATAGGGAAAATTTCCATGGGGGAGGAGGGGAAGATTCAGAAGCTATGAAGAATTACAAATGCCAGACAAATGGGTTTTTTTAAAAGCTTATCTGCAAAAGCACAATTGCTTCAGGATCACTTAATAAATAGCCTTATTAATAAAACCTTAGAAATTTTAATTTACTTTTGCAGTGACATACATTTTAGGTTTTAATTAAAAGCTTTTAGTGATAGTTATTTGAATCACTGCAGTCACTCTCTTTAAGAAACAGGTTGCAATTATAAATCATTTGGTAAAGATTATTTGAGTATATTTTTGCTTAGGGGAAAAAGAAAGAAAAGACTTGGAAAAGAATGAATGCAGCTACAGTTTTTGATAACTTTCCACACACTTGCAGAAAACTACTACATCTATTTAAAAATTTATACGTAGAATTTATTGAAATTAACAGCACCAAATCCTCTGGTTGCTTACCCAAACTGCATACATTTCAGAAGTTAAGGCACTTCCTAGATTTCTTCTGTGACTGGACATCAAGCTGGGCATTTTCTCAGACCGGATTTTCTTGGAAGACATTCCCCTCTAGGACAGGAATAATCCTACAAGTAAAATGTTTCCATAATAACTCAGTGATCCTACTCACAGGAAAACATGGGGTTTGAACCAAAGCTCAATGACATTAATCAGAGTTTTCCCATTGACCTTGCTGTTTTTTTAGATCATAGTTTCATAGTTTCTAGGGTCAGAAGGGACCTGAGCAGATCATCGAGTCCAACCCCCTGCCATGGCAGGAAAGAGTACTGGGGTCAAACGACCCCAGCAAGGTGTATGTCTAGCCTCCTCTTAAAGACCCCCAGGGTAGGAGCCAGCACCACTTCTCTTGGAAGTTGGTTCCAGATCCTACCTGCCTCACTGTGAAGTAGCGCCTCCTGATATCTAGCCTAAATCTACCCTCTTCCAGCTTGTGAGCGTTATTTCTGGTCACTCCTGGCAGTGCTCAGGGGAACAGGGACTGCCCCAGTACCTGCTGGTCCCCTCTGACTAGCTTGTAACAGGCCACTAGATCCCCCCTCAGCCTTCTCTTGATCATGCCTACACACAGGGAAACAGAAAATATATGGGGAACAGTGCTGCTAGATCTACTCAGGTGAATTTTGTCTAGTGTTTCCTATTATAACACTTTTTTAAGTTGTCTCTAAGTTTGCCAAATATTAGCTGTTCGTGGTGAAATCTTGTATGATGACTGTCTGGCTCAGGTAAAGATTTCTGGAAGGTTTCTGCAAAATGTATTCAGCTGATTTGGATACCATGGTCAGGGAAAAAGTATAATGTTCTGTTGTGAAGTTTTTGGACTTCCATGCCATGGAGTAAGAGTTTCAATTTGTCTATGGTCTTTGTGTCAGAAATGTGGCTAGATTCTCAGAGAATTGAAAGAATAATTTTTTAGACATGCCAGTGGCATCCTGATCCTATTGATTTGAATGTGGTTTACATTATTACTCCCTATTTTGAGATGGATTGGAGATTATCTAGGAAAAAATCTCTTTATAATCAACCCATTTTCATTGTTACTTCAAACTATGTGATGAAAAAAGTATTAAAGTCAAATTCCTAATAGACATTAGAATTATGTTCTTACTTGTTTCGTTACCAAGGTGAATCTGTTACTAATTAGCAGAAAATTGTCCCACCCTAAACAGTGCCAAGTTGGGGGCCAATCCTACAGGGGGCACATGCCCCGCCTCTTATCCCTCCTACCAGTCACCTGTGCCTTTAGATTTTTTTCTGTATTTGCCTAAATGTGTTGTACTATATCTATGTTTGACAAAGTCCAACTTGTAATCCAAATATGTTATTTGTTAAATTCTAAGTTCTTTGTTGCTTTATGTTTTCATTCAATCTTTAATAATATCCAATATAGCCTTTGTTGCATGACCTATGCAAGAGACTTTTTAAATATAGGTACCGGGGGGGAGGGTTGTATGTTTGTTTTGTTTTAATTCCATCTTTAATATTATTTTGATGCTTATAACTTCAGCAGGCTTCCAATGTCACTATTTTATAACTAAGTTGTGATGCCTTCCCAAGATTAAATTACTGATGAAGGCATTTAACCAGAAAGGACATTTCAGACCTATTCTTGAAACCTGGAAAAGGTGTTGACCAAATGTATAAAATCTACCAGTTTTGATATCAATAACATGATTTCTTTTTCTAAAAATTAATATTTGTGTTGTGTTCTTTGGCATTTTACTTTTGCACTGACATGCCTATGACCCTAGGATTACTTGGATCATTAGCAGGTTCTGGCTACTTAAAAGTAATCCCGGATTATTTTATCTAATCAAGTGTAGTGTAGTGTAGCATATATATACATTCTTTTACATTTTTCAGGGCTATAGTCTTTTTGCACCATGGAAGTCAGTAATAGGAATCTTAACCTAAATTATGTGAGGGACTTAAGGATTTCCACTAATTATATAAGTAGGAATCATTCAAGGGAATTCAAATTACTCTGCTTTGGTTTGAAGATTATATTGTGAACTGAAATAGCATAAAAATGTAGAGGAAGTGTAGACCAGGCCATAACTGGTTCTCGTGTGTGTGAATGTTTGTTTTTAAATGGAGATGTGTTTCTTACTTTTAAAGGGGGAAGAATCTTTAAGTTTTCTTCTGAATGTTGTTGTCTTTTCGTCAGTTTTCACCATTGTGAGTACTACTATTTTCATTCAAGGTTCATCAAATAGTCGCTAATGATTATGCTGATCTGAGTTTCTGCACTTGTTTTCTTTTCCAAAATATCCCCTTTCAAAAGTTTTCACATTGCTCAATGAATCAAAGCCAGACAGCATTGCAGTTTACTACTTTTAGAAGCTTAGGATCCTTATGGAGACAGAAGCATCATTTTACAGGTATTGTTAGGCAAAAAAAATCTGGATATTAAGTCATTATTTGTACATTAACAACTTTTCCCCAGGTAGGATTTATCGTTTCAAGACATTTTGTTTTGTGTGTAACTCCTTTTTTGTCTAATCACCTCTAAAATTATGAACACTCTAAGAATAATACATTCTGAATAGCAAAACAGCTTGAAATATTCATAACTAAGAATGCAACTGGTATTGCTCATAAACAAAGTTGTTTGGAGACCCCTTTATTAATTTTTAATTTATTTTCAGTCAATTCCTTATTACTTCCAAATTCCTGTAGGGGATTCTGTTAATTAGTCATGTGTAAAATATTCATTAAAAACAGCTTCCTATTTTCTTCTTTTATTGCAAATTTACATTTCTAATCTTATAACCAAAATAAATGCCATTGGGTAGAGGGACCATATTAATTTTGATCAATCTCTTGAAATACAAACCCACACAACAAAAGATATGGTAATGAAACCACAGTAACATTGAGATACCATGTAGTCAGAAACAGGCGTACAAATGTCGAACTGTTACCTTACCGAGGCAGGTGGAAACAACAAAAATCAACATTAGGAAAAACATAGAAGAAAACCTGCTTTCAGCAATATTGCTATCTTATGCTTAACACTGCTCCACTGATGTTGATTGAGTGACTTAAGCTATTACTTAGGAAGAGTAAATGTGACATAACCAAGTCCAAAGAAAATGGATTTCGAAAAAAATATATATTTTTTCTTCATATAGTTGTTCAGTTTCACTTTAGTTTACCTGATAATAAAGTTAAAGAAGCTTAGTCCTGAGATTTTGTTACTGGAGTTCGTATGGATTTTCTTTTTCTTTTTTTCTTTTGCTTTGCCATGTGCCTCTCTTCTGTTCCTGTGGGTGTCCATTTTCTGGTCTCAGCTCAGTTCCTGTGGGCGTATATTCTATATAGAGGGAGGGACAGGTAGGATATTAGTACTTCTTTCTCCCATTCTTCCTCAGTCTTGTGGATTAGACCCTGATCCGACAAATCTGTATTCATATATTTAGTTTTAAGCCTGTGATTAGCTCAGCTGAAATGAGTAGAATTTCTCAAGTGCTAAGAAGTTAATGGTGTGCATATGTATTTGGAGGATCAGGGCCTTAGATTGATAACATTTAAAGGTAGGGAGATGGAGTGTCTGACTACGTGCTTGCATGGTGTCTACAAATATAGGGCAGCTGTCTCAGTTGGGCGCTACCATTTAATACAACCTAATAAATTACTGACCCACCTTCCATTGCCTTGTAATACAATGGTTTATCACATTCCCACCCACATAGCTGTGGATAGGAAGTGTTTTTTTTCTCAGTTGATTTTTTGGCAATAAAAAAGAAAAAGAAAAATGTACAGAAAAAAATCCCCCACAAACTGTCTGCAAAAAAGTTCTGTATGCAAATCAGAAGCCAAATCTGTAACCTGGCAAAGATCTGCAAAAAATTAGGGGCTATTTTTTTCTCTCAACAGGGCACATCTCCCACTGATGTCAGACATATGGCTAATTTGCAAAAATAAAGCCAATTTTGTTTCTTTTCTCTTTTGTTGTCAGGATGGCAGGCAGGCGCTCAGCGAGAAAGTGTTATTATTCTTGTTCACCTTCCTAGAGAAGAGATATTAAAGAAGCAGGAGAAGTGTGCTAGCAATGATACCAACTGTAGAGTCGCAACTTTTAAAAGCATAAGTCACAGCACCAGGCAGGCCAAAGCTGAAGTGTTCAGCCTTTCATTTCTTTTTTTATACTAAATAAAGAAGTAATTAAAATGTCCTCTGCCAGGCAGCAAAAATGGGAGGGGAGGGGAGGGGAGGGGAGG